AATGTTTGGGGTGTTGCTTAATGGTTGCATGGCTTACTAAACCACATGTATCCCATATCTAATGTGCATATAACACATACTTAAGTGCTAACAAAAAACGTATCCCCCTCAGGGGTTCTAGCAAAGTCGCTAATTATGTTTAAATTTTCAATAATTGCAACTCTGACTATCTATTTACATAAACGGTTATTGTAATTTTCCTAACCCCTTTAACTTGGAAAACCTATATCGGAAAACACTATCTTGCTGCTTTGTTTTTGTTGTTTTGTGGTTTCAGGAATTGCAATTATTTCCTTGCTGTTACCTTTTTTTCCTGTGTGAACTGATAGATTTGTGGGGTCACGGTTGCATATTGTGCGGTTGCATTAGCCGACATCTGGCTGCATGTTGCATGACATGGTATGTTTCGGTTGCTTGCATCTTTGCTTTGTAGCCTGTGGGCTGCATGGTTGGCATGATACATGCGGGCCATTTGGGCTGCATGGTTGCTTGATTGTTCTTTAGCCTACATGGGCTACATGAGATTGATATTCGAGCCCATGCGGGCTGCACGACTTGCATATACATGAGAGCCATGTTGGCTGCATGATTGCTTGATTGTTCTTTTAGCTTGCAAGGCTATACATAAGATTGATGTTCGAGCCCATGTGGGCTGCATGTCTTGCATCTGCATGAGAGCTATGTTGGCTGCATGCATGGAGTCCACGGGCTGCATGCATATATGATGTGCTGCTTAGATATGAATGGTGCATGCAGTGTTTGGTTGGAAAGCAGTTCAGATAGTATCAAGCCGTATATACACTTGCGGCCTACCATGGCATTGACCCCGGCAGTCATTGCAGAAGCTGAACGTATCATGGCATTGGATGCGGCAGTGAACCTCAAGGTGTTGGAGCTTAATGATTTGTGGCTGAGCAACGGGCTCGCCTCCAAGCAAGTCCATGGACCAGAGAGGTTTTGCATACATCCCCAAAATCGGGGAGGTGCCATGATGAATAGCTTTGATATGGTGACAAAGGGGAGACGATGATGAGCCAAGGCCTGCGGATTGATTTGCTCGAAACAAGTGCAGTAGCATTCTGCATGTCCAGCAATGCAGTGAAACGTGACAAGCAACTTGCAGCAAATCGGAAATGCTGTTCCCAAGCCAAAGGGGTGATGCCCGAAGTGGTTGGCGACGAATTGTTTCTCACGGTTGGCTCATCTCACTCCACGTGCTATTTGAAATCCATGAAGCAGGGCCTTGTGAAGAATGCTTCTTCGTTCATGAAAAAGGGTCAGCCCGTCGAAAGGTGCCTGAGCCAAGGATGGCCTTGGCTGATTCTTGCTGATACCTTGGAAGACCAATTCCCGAGTCTCCCGTTGCTGTACTCGTCTGTGC